CGTGGCTCAATATTGTATACATTCGTACGGGGGAAACATACTCCAGTGTTACACGTTATCATCATTTCCAACGTGTTCACTTACATTTAAAATTATCTTTAATTGAGTAACGCCCCGTCTGACCATGTAATATAGTTATTCGCAATTTCCGTTAGACCAATTTAAGAATATAGAAAAAGGGTAGCGACGCTGAATTGTTTATTCTTAGTTTAGTTGTTTTGAAATCATTGGCTGACTTTCTGTAATTCAGAAAAAATAATATTTTTTCTATTCGTCATCTTAAATTGTGGTCATTTTATGATCCCGAACTTGAAATGGCTTTCAAAGTGTAATATATTAAAATTAGAAAAATATTAAAAGGCTTGGGTACTTCTCTTTCTATCTGCCCATGGGTACGAATGTGGTTCGAGTAAATTCCCCAGTAAAATAAAAATATGAGTTGTCTGTCTCCATATTTCACTGTAGTTACTAGCGGTCTCAGAAGTTTGAAGCGCCACATCCCCGTCCTCGGTCACGGTCCCACGCCTTATATGATATGGGTTACTGTATACAACGTACGTATATTATATTTATTGAAGGGTGCTTCTCGACAAATCTGTCGCATTACATGTTACTTTTTATTTTATCTCATTTTATTAAACTGCAGTCAACATATATAGGCCAACTATAGGTCTGAATACAACAAAAGTAAGGCACAAATACAATGACACTGAATGCCACTTTAACCTCAAAATAAGAAAAAAGAAAAACTACTAAGACAAATAAATACAAAAACGCAGAACACTACTGGCTAAAATAAATATCGAAACTACTCTTAAATGACTAAAACTTCTAATATTAATAACAATATTATCACTGTTGGACAATTAATTAAAAAGAGTCAGAGCACGTGGAATGAATAATGAAGTTCATACATTGAGACATTTCATTTTGTGAAAAAGATAACGTTGCCACGTGGAACGAAACAGTACATGTAAACAAGTATTATAATGTATTCAAACAAATAATAAATGTTATTAATTACAAAACTCTTAGGAGGGAACCACACTTAATACTCGACATGCGATATACAAATAAATAATAAGGGACACACGTTGTTTGTTTGCTCCGAAAACAGGCCTTCCGATTTTAATATGGTTATCCGAGATTTGTAAATATATTTGCTGAAAAATATTCGTTTTTTCCGTCGGTGAGTATGCTCCTTCCCCGCTAATGTTAATACACTAGCGTTTATGGAGCGACACGAACATGTCTTCGTATAAGACTTATCCATGCTCGACATGCATTATATTTATTGCAGAATAAAAAGTGAAAAGCTCGTACATCCCATATTAAAAACAAAACATTAAATATAAACAAAGAGAAAAAAATATATACAAAAAAGACTTGACTAATAAATAAATTCATTGTTCTAGCGTAGCTGTGGCGTATACATAAGTTATTTACGGTACAGAACTTAAAACTTCGAACACTGTAACGATTTCAAGATCACTATTAGTTAGACGCGTATAGAGTGATAAAAAAACATGTTTCGTCTAAGAGCGTCAAATGTAGGAATGTTGGAGGACACAAACATACCGCTAGCACTACAGTCTCTGAGCCGACCAAAGAATAAACGAAATGCATTATTAAACACAACACGGAGATCATAAATACTTTTACGACTACCGGTATATTGAAACCAAAGCTGTGCACATTGCAACAACAGGTTCGGAACAATGTCATTTTAACATTACTACTGTAGCTCGAAAATTTTCTCTGTCGTACAATGATTGAATCTGTCGTTGTATGTCCTCGTCTTCTATGCAATTACCAGTAACAACAAATCCTAAATAACTTAAACGTGCTTGTGCATAATTTTTAGTCTAGAGTCACCAAGATATACGGGTTGAATTACATTGCTTCTAAGAGCACTCTTCCGTGGAATAAAGTACAATACATTCAGACTTCTTAGGATAGTAAATAATATCGAAGACCGACCCCATATTCAATAGCAAACATTAACGAGGGTTCGCAAACCACGGATGGAAGTGCTAAGGATAACCAATTATATAATTAAAAACATTATTCTCATGGAAATATATATAAATACGTATTCTGAACGAGAATTTAATTCATCTGTTGACACACACATGCAGGTAGCTGTTCTATCCATCCACAATACTGTTGCTTGCTATCTCTGACATGTCGATGACACGGTGGTTGTTGTATACTAGTATTATTATTTAACTGACAAAGTAATCCAAGGCATGCATTAATTATATTTTGTCCCCAAAAACATGACAAACTCGAAAGGGGGTAGCTGATACAGGTTACAGGAAATAAAAAAAGGCATTTACGTTTTTTTACAAGAAATAAAATGAACGTTCCATGTACAGTAAAAACACTTTACAGATAAAGCAAATTCCTAATTACATTTTTATAATATATTTGATAATTTAAGAATCAAAATTGGAAATTGCGTAAGAATTACGACATTTAATGTGAAGAATGCTTTATACGCTTAAAAAAAAGATCTTTGTACAAATTACGGACGAATAAAATAGCTGATTACATTTTACACCTTGCCCATGTCTACAAATTTACGTTTTTTTATCTATTTAAATAACATTACGAGAATAAAAACAATTGATTACAACCCACGAAATACTCTTTTCCGACCCTCATACTCGTATCCATGGAAAAAATGTCAAAGATGAGAGTCAACAACGAAAGAAGCCGCACCACGGTGCATTTTGTTAAAAAACACTTCAAGACAATGAACATGTATGATTATAAAGCCTAAAACGGCATTTTGTTCTTCTCCAACAAATGGTGCACCACGGCCTGGGTTGATATGAATCACCTATCATTTACTTGCTGGCTTTACTTGCCTTATACATTTAAAAAAAGATGCATGCCGGAATGTGAACTTTAAATAGTACTTTTATTATTTTGAGCAGCGTCAGTTCACGGAACTTACTACCAAGATTTAACAGTACAGTTGTACCATGGAACGCGCATTTTGTGGTAAAGTTTTATCTGAAACAAGATGTGTGGGGGCGCACTTCAATTACGTCAGCTGTTAGACTTGTGCGTGTAGATTTGTTTATTGACAAGTACCGGTGATCTGTGCAATTAGATTAGACACCTCAAAACTGGCTGCGTTTCTGAGAATATTGAAGGTAGAAAGCCTGACAAATTTGTGTGTTTTGTTACATCCATTTTGTAGGAGTTTTACAAATAAATTGAAATGTAATTCCATCGTGATCTTATATTTATATTCAACTACCCGAGTTCTCCACTATCATTAGTTTGACATCTCCTGTTGAGATTGGTTTGACCACAGTCCCTCCACACCGGGACTGTGACTTGACCTAACTTGTTCTAATAACGTAATGATTTCCGGGCACGCATTGCAAACCAGTCAGCAATAGCTGGCAATGTTGCCAGAACATTATGGCAGTGACAGTAACGTGATGACAAGGAAATGTGACAAAAATTAATTCCCGATTCAACTGCACATTAAAACGCCGCCACAGAGGCTGCACATTGCGGAGATATTTAAAATACGTTATATAAATTACGTGGGAGCCGTACAAGAAGCAGCAAGATGATAATGACGTATTAAAGGTGACGAGTCATAATATGAAAACACCAATACTGCTGATCACAGTTGATTCTGTTCCTCAGAAAAATGAGCGGCTTCAAGTTGAGGAAAGAAATTTGTTGAGTTATTTTGAATCCTGATGACATGCAAAACTAAATGTAATTCACTGAATGTTGTAATCCTTGAAACAAGAAATCCATGCAAACACACTGAGTCCTTCAAGAGAGTTTGACACCAACATGGTTACTTTATAATTATTTTTATTTATCTGAATCACAGTGTTGAGGGACTGTGTCTGAATCAACATAGTGGATATTACATGTATATACTAATTTGTAACGTAATTATCAACTACCAGTCAACAGCGGATGGTAAATAACAGTACAAAACTGAAATAAATATGATCTCACTGGGGGAATGTTTATCTCCTCATAAAATGTCCTATGGCTAGATGTGTTACTTTGTAAATA